TTTGCTCCTCTAACTGTTCTGGCAGAGAAGCAGTGCAAAAAAACTCAAGCAAAGGTGTTGACATATGTCCTTGTCTATCAGAGGAACTTTATCAACTAACAGCACATATTGCTTTTATGGTGCAAAAGTATCTATTATCCACAAAGGAATGTCTATAATCCCTACAAAACTGCCTTCCCCTAACTGCCTCTTTAAAAAACTTGTTTCACAATTTTTACCAGAATTCCAGCTAGCAGAGTTTACCAAGCAATAAACTGACAGAATAAAACATCCTGGTTTGTTCTAGCTGCATTTTCCCATTTTCCCTTATGACTCATAATTAATTACTGCAAGGGAAGTTTGGAGGGGGTCATCCTTAACTTACTCCAAACCTCCCCTCGGATCTGATCTTGGTACAGTCCAAAAAGTTTTCAGGTTAAAAAGCCAGGGGACTCTCTGTTTGCAGTATTGATTTTTGGAAGTCTTATGTGCTTGAGGGCTCAGGAGCAGAAATGTGCTAATCCAGGTAAGTGCTAGCGTTAATATAAAATTGTATTTACTGCATTTTCTGCTTTGTCACCAAAACCAGCACTCTCTGTATTAATAATCACTTGGACATGCACAGTAAGAAAATGCTGTGACTTGGATATACTTTAGGTGATCCTGGATTTGATATTGAACTCTGAGCTAAGCATTCACTGTAAACGATTTATTGCAAAAACAGCACTACCGGCATTTCTACAGTCTAACACTGAATGGACTGTGTTCTACAAATGTGGGTAGCGAACAGACACACACAACAGACGAGGGCCAGCGGTGGTGGAAAGCTGAAACTGAAATCTCGTTGTTCTGTCAATTCCACGTGGGCTATGAAATTAACCTCCTCTGAGCACCTGAACGTGCTGTCAGTTCCCACTTTCCCTGCAGATCTCACGTGGGCATTTTGAGCCTCTCTTTTTTAAAAAGAAAACTCTTAAAGGGCATGTGTCTGAAACTGAGGATAAGTTTCTACAGAATTATGTAAGAGTATTAAAGCAGTCACTTGTTAACATATATAGTCACAGGCTTTAAAACTGAGTGACTCTGAGAGCAGGAACAGGATTTTTTTAGGATTGTGAAGACAAAGTTCCCTCCTTAGTTACCCCTGAGAGAGAGAATGTCTTGAAAGAACCAACAAACATGGCTTTTGGCATATTTTGCACAGCTTGCTAGGGACATCCTGGCTTTCATTAAAGTTAATAGCAATCTATCGTTGTTTAAACATAGAAAGTTATCTTTTGCCTAACCAAGAACCTAATAGTTTTAAGGACTAACTCTTGGACTCCAGGATTAATGTGAATCCAAAATGCTGTTATTGGATAAGGTACTTATATCTTAAAGGCAGACACTTCTGAAAATCCCATCTATTTGAATGCCTTTAAAAACTGGCCTGTTTGCACGTCATACCTCAGTTTTCCCATCCATAACAAGGGAATACCCATATCTTAAAAGGAGAATAACTTATCTGCTTAAAATAGAGTTTTGCATAAAATGCACGGCTCCACATTGATGGTGGTATAACAATAGCTGCAGTTAATGCAACAGGAAGAAAAAAGGAAAATTGTAAATTCTCACGGTCTTTTTTTTTTTTATCAAAAGCAGAAAAGGAGAGGTTGCACGTACACTTTGAACCGCTGAAAAGAAAAACTATTATTTTTGAAAGGCTTCTTAAATTTCATTAAGCCTCCAGCTTGGATAGATGTGCATGCTTTAATTCTGTGTATATATTTTCATGCAGTTTTCCTAATAGCTAAGATTCCACAAAGCCGTACGCAGGAAATGTAAAGGACAAAGGTGTGCATGTTTCATTTAGAAGGTGCTCTGTTGGAGAACAGATATAGCCCATTAACGCTATGATAAATGAAAGCCTTTATTTGCCTGCACTCACCCAACAGCATTAAACCTAATAGTTTCATAGTTTCATAGTTTGTAGGGTCGGAAGGGACCTGAGCAGATCATCTAGTCCG